AGTAGCAGTAATAGTAGTAGTAGTAGTAGTAGCAGTAGCAGTAGCAGTAGCAGTAGCAGTAGCAGTAGCAGTAGCAGTAGCAGTAGCAGTAGCAGTAGCAGTAGCAGTAGCAGTAGCAGAAGCAGTAGCAGTAGCAGTAGCAGTAGCAGTAGCAGTAGCAGTAGCAGTAGCAGCTGTTAAGGAACGTGGAAACAGTACGGTACTGCACAGCATTCGCATCCGCATGAGCAGCAAGATGGCAATGCCGGAAATAGCATTTGTTAGCAACGTGGTGGTCTTGGCAGTAGCTGTTGTAGTTTAGATGGTGTTGGTGTTGTTGTTGTTCCTCTTCTTCGTGCTGCTGTTGTTGTTGGGGAGGGGATAACAGCGACAACGATTGTCATTGGAGCTGCTTAGTGCTGCTGCTGCTGCTGCTGCTGCTGCTGCCGCGGCTGCTGCTGCTGCTGCTGCTGCTGCTGCTTCTGCTGCTGCTTGCGGCCGCTGCTTGCGGCTGCTGCTTGCTGCTGCTAGCTGCTGCTGGCTGCTGCTGGCCGCTGCTGCTGCTTGCTGGTGCTTGCTGGTGCTTGCTGGTGCTTGCTGGTGCTTGCTGCTGCTTGCTACTGCTGCTTGCTGGTGCTTGCTGCTGCTCTGCTGGGGCTTGAAGCCAAGGGTCACCTGCGAACCTCCCAAATAAAAGCCCCTGCAAACCCCTAAAACCCCAACCCCCTACCCTGGAGGCCCCTGGAGGCCCCTGGAGGCCCGTGGAGGCCCCTGGGCCTAGAAACCTCTGGGGGCGCCTGGAGGTGCCTGGAGGCCCCTGAAAGGTCCTGGAGGCCCCGTAAAGGCCCCTGGAGGCCCTTGCTGCTTGTGCTTGCTGCTACTGCTTGCTTCTGGTGCTTGCTGGATGCTGTTGTGCAAGCCCGTTAACGACTGGGAGTAGCATGTGCTTTGAAACAGCAAACGGGAAAATTCATTCCAGCTGATTTTGTTGTCGTTAATCACACACCAATTCCTGCGAAGACGGGGACGACCTAGGCATTCGTGGATTCATCCTTCATTGTTGGCAGGATTGTGTATGTTTTTTGCCCACAAGCCTGATCAATGGTTTGTGTATTCTTCCTGATCGGTGGAATTTATCGGGAACAGGTCAGGTTTCAAATACACATAGTCAGGTCATCCAAATGGAATATATGCAATAATTCGTGTAAACTCTTTGCACGCCCCTGCTAACTGCTAATGTCTGCATGCTGGGTTGTCTGGTGTTAGCAATGCAGCAATGGTGGTGTTGTTGCATCATGAATAGTGCGCAGCTTTATCTTACGTCATGCAACGAATGGCCTAGTTAATCACATGTTTTACAAGATTGGCTCATGCAGCGTCGCTTTCGGATGCTATGTGCGCTTGCGTCTGCGCGTCCATGCCTGAGTGAATAGCTGTGCAGGGTGGAGGCGGCATGTTGAGCAGCATGATTGTTTCAATTATGCCATAGCGTGGAAGGACAACTGCAGGGATCTGATGGGATCATGTAGAACGGAAATTTCCGACCTACTTGCTGGAAAGGCGCAAGTCCTTGCTACACTTTGGGTATGGGTAAGAAGCGATAGGATTCAGGTAACATTAGACCCTGACGTCACCTGCGTCGGAACTCATTGTTTTTGCCAAGGGTGGGCCAACGCTTATCATCCTGTAGATGATATTGTTGGGGTATGGACCGTGCCGCCGAAGCACGTGCCCAGCAAAGGCCTGGCTTGTTGTTTGGTTTTGTGGCTCGTGTGGCATGCGACGTAGTGCTTGCTGATTTCCAGGGCTGGCAGACGGTCCGCTAATAGGCCCAACCGCATCCTGTTTGGATTCCTTGGAAACTTATGTAACCTACGTTGTTGCAGGCAACGGTGATCTCGGAGCAGCCTTTGCGTGGTCATCAGTTTCTGCCAATGCCTCTCCAGAGTCTACTCCACAGCAGCCCGTCTGACAAGCGACCTGTTGCAATGATTGTGTACGACTGACAGGCTACTGAGAGCTTCTTTCGTCAATTTATAATCGTAGGATCGATGTCCACATTGGGCACAACGAGTTCTTTGCTGCCCCGGTTGGTGGCGCAACTTCGTGCGGATATGCTACTGGTGGACGCAAGGCTCAACGATGCATCCGCAGTGTTTTGCTGAGAGTTAGCTGGATAGAATTAGATGCCTACCCCACATTTATTATTGTTCATGCTGTGCTCGTTGCCGCATCAGGAGTGCTCCGGTGATGGATGCGTGCCTTGTAGCCACTGGCTCTGTATTATCTTGGTACAAACCGTGTGAGCCATGCTGCGCCTGCTGTTTGCAAGCTTACTTGCTCGGGGGTTGTTGGCACCTCAGTCACATGAAAACATGGCACTGGTGGTTTTGCCTGCGCTTGCGCGCTTTTTCCTATCTGCTAGAGGCTCGGCTGGCCATGCCCAGGGAACACCACAGCTGATGACGTTTTGGCAGGCATTGGGCTATGGTGCCAAACGTGATCGCATTCCGCCATTGCTCAGGGCGAAATCTCACCAGAAAGCTTGCAATTGTCACTGGTGGTGACAGTGGACTCGGGTTTGCCACTGCACTCTCGCTGGCGAAGCGTGGTGCGAAGGCGGCTTGCATTAGCGCGGTAGGTGCAGAACCTACTGCTTTGATTTTCAGGTCATCATCGGCAACCACAACGAAACCAGGGGGAGGTTGGCTGCCAACAACATTTCAAAGGTGACGGGAGTCGAGGTAGACGCTGGGTGTTTCAGCTCTCCAAGCCTGATACCACGATGAGCACGGCAAAGTCAATTGCATCTGTCGCGCAATGCGGCATGCTAAGGATGCACTTCCCCTGAACTTGGGTTCGCTTCAGTCAGTGCGGGCATTCGCCAAAACCTTCTACCAGCAATATGGTGGGACACTGAACCTGCTGATCAATGATGCAGGGATAGGCGCGTGCCTTGCTTCAACTTAAATCTTGCTGCTTTGTGTGGCGAGCCTTCCTTTTGCAGGCAGCCCAAGCGTTTTGAGCTCAGATGGCTTCGAACTGGTCTTCCAGGCACCGTCCTAAGTCTGGACAGAATTCAAACGTTGCTGGTACGGTTTTCAATGTAGCCAAGGTGGACTACTTGGGTCATTTCCTGCTGACCGAGCTGCTCCTCCCAGCTCTGCGACAAGGTCGACCTTCCAGGGCACCCAGACCAAAGATTGCCAGAAGCCTCTGCTTGAGTTCTTGTCGGGGGCTGGGGCCATTTGACTTTCCTTGCCAAGGTTGTCAACGTAGCCAGCGGAGCCCATGAAAATGCTTGCGAAGGAAGCGGGCTGCCAAACGATTGCTTCCAAAGCTTCGCACATTTGCCGCCCGCTGTGGTAGCGAACAAGTCCGTGACGATCCACAGCCGCACAGGTGCTGGACAATGGCAAGTGGCAATTTGTGCATACTTGGGCATGTGTGGTATTTTGACAGCTGTGCTGGGTCTGACGCAGGCAGTTATCAGACAGAAGCCTCGAATTATGGCGTGGCCAAATTTCTGCAGATTCAACATGCAGCTGCGTTGGCAAATCGTGAAGCGGAGAACGGTGTAGAGGCTGGACTAGTCCTGGCTTCGGAGTGGAACTCACATGGATGTTGACTGCCAGGCATGTTCCTTGACACCGGGCTTCGTCCTAACTTCCCTCACCGAGAAGGTTGACATCCACAGCCCATTCGTCAAGGCCATCAGTTTGTGCAGGCTTGTATGAAGTTTCAGCCTCTGGTTCTTTTTGGCTGCTTCTGTTCCTGAAGCTTCCTGGAGCATCGTTGGACCTTCTTTGTGCGACTACCGCGCCTAAAGCATTCCTGTTTCAGACATTCGGCTGCAACGCCCGCTTGCTACAAACATGCGCGGTAAGTAAGCCCGTTGACGATTTCGACCGACAGGTTGAAACATGACGCATTACTTACCAATCGTGTGCATGCTGTAATGAGTGTGACCTTGTGAGGCGGTCTGCCAGCAGCAGGCGCTGCTGCGTATGGAGTTACTGCTAGGGATCTCCGTTGGCCATTTTTTGCTTCCAAATGCGGGCCAGGTGCATCCAACACCGGAGCTCCCAGCAAACAGCTGTCCTTTCTCAGCGGACCAAGGACTGGGACTTCGGATGTGCACATGTTACTTTGCGTGTTTCTGGGCGTGTCGCAGCTTTGTATGCAGGTGCTGCAGTTATCGCATATTGTGCGACGGGGTCTATCAGGAGATGCGTGCTTCTGCGGCTTTTGCTTTTTATGTAGTCTTGCAGTGTTTTTGCCATGGCCTGATTAGGAGTGGTGCCTACTACTCACGATCCTTCGCATGTGGCTGTCTTAAAGCTAATTGCAAATCACCGTCACGCTGACGACCAGCAAGTACAACCATGTTGGGCTTGTGTCGAAAATCTCTACCGGAGTTTTTGGAAGCCAAGGTGAGGAGCACGCCGTCACCATGGAGGGCTTCACTGAATCTATGCAGCCGGAACTGTACACAAAATCTTTGGCTTGGGCGGGTGAAGCCCTTGCCCAGTTCGTCTAAAGGCTCTGAACGCGCGTTTAACAGTGGAATGGAATTAGGAGGCACGATGTGATCGCGAAGTGAGTTGGCCGAGCAGTGCTAGACCAAGAGCAAGTGTCACCCAGTTTCCTGTGCAGGCCGCCAGTCAAGTACGTGAGCCTGTTACGGCACAAATCCACCATACAAGACTGCGTGGCAGCCCGCGAAGAAAAACAAAGACCAGTCAGCCAGCAAACCTTCGCAGCGTTCCCATTTTATACTATATTAGAGTAGAGTATACTATATTATATTATGAGATAGGGGTTTCAAAAAACATCAATAACATTCTTAATTAAGCATCAAAAACAACTTATTGCCCATTTCCTGGGAATACAACAATCCGGCTTTTTTTTTTGATGCTTGGGCTTCGACCCTGTACCCTGGCAGGAACAGGAGAAGGAAGGAAAGAAGGAAGGAAGGCGGGTAGGAAGGAAGGAAGGAAGGAGGGAAAGAAGCCAGAGCGTCAATGGTTATTCATATTCTCATCATTTTTACAAGGCCTACTTCTACGATTATTAGGAGCTCTATATATTTGAGTGCTACTGTTACTCGTACTAGTATTACATTAGAGCATTATTGCACTTTCATTTGTGTTCTAAGAAGTACTTCGGATAAGATATAATAGTAACAATAACAATGGCAATAAAAGCAGCAGAAATCACAACATTGAAAGATACAAATGACAGTGCATTCATGGGTGTGTTAGGGGAGGGGGTGTCAGGTGGGGGAGGGCGCTCCGAGGCGTTAGAAAGGCCTTAGCAAGGCCTCAGCAAGGCTCAGCGCGTATTTAGAACCGAGGAGTTACCGAGTAACTACCGAGTTTCGAGTGCTTAGCGAGTGCTTAGCGAGTGCTTACCAAGCGTTCTTTGACACTTCTCAGATGCATCCCCCCCACTTGACCCCCCCTCCCCTAACACGATCTTGTAACAAGATTGCAAAAGGACAGCAGGAAGGAAGGAAGGAAGGAAGCACGGAAGGAAGGAAGGATCGCTCATCAAGTTTCATCAGTTTTCATCAAGTTTCATAAATTTCATCATCTTTGATCATATTCGTGATCAGTCATGACATTCCATGATTTTTTTTCAATTGTTCAATGTTTTAATTGTTTAGCAAATTCCGTCATGTTTCATCATGTCTGAGAATTTTGAATCGTTTTTCATGCTCTATCATTATTTTTTATCATGGTTCATCGAGTTTCATACAGTTTCATCATCCCCATCCGTGTTCATGATGTTCATCCTCTCCCCATTATTAATCACATCACATTGCCAAATTAACGTAGCGGAAGAAATCACATACTGAGATACTGTATCCTAATCTTTGTCCAGGTTTTGCAATTTGGGGGCTGCGCCCCCCTCCAACTGCCCCGCTCTTGTTTTACAAAGCACATTCACGCAAGCATTTGTCATCATATTCACCTTTTTCAACATGACTTTTCATCAGTTTCCTCCTTATCTATTCGTCATTTGCCGTAGTTTTCGATATCTTTTGCAATTTTCATCATTTTCCAATTTTTTTCGTTAATTTTCAATGTTTTCATGACTTTTTTTATGGCGTGTTCATGATTTTCATCATGTTTCATTATGTTTCATCACGTGTCACCATTTATCATCATTCATCATTATTCTCATGATTTTCTTTCTCATCATTTCATCATTTTACATTATTCCTCATTATTCTTCATGTTCATACTTGTCATACTTCATTGTTGTCATGATTTTTCATCATTTTCATTATTTACATCATTTTTCATTATTTGCATGGTTTGCATGGTTCATCATTTTCATCACCATTTCTCAACAGTTATCATTATTTACATGTTTTTCTCATTGTTTTCATCACGCTTCTCATTTGTCATTCCTTTTTCATCATTTTGAATTTCTCATTATTTTTCATGTTTCATAAATTGTCATTTTCTATGAATTTTGTTCACTTGTCATTATTTTCGTGATTTTTCATCAATTTCAGACCTTCCACTATTTCCTGATTTTTTCACGATTTTTCATCATGTGCTGCTAATCTTTCCATTGGATTCCTAATTTACATGTTTTTAATGGTTTTTCATTAACCATTACTACTCCTACAATGGCTGTCGCCGCTGCTGCTGCTGCTGCTACTACTACTACTACTACTACTACTACGACGACGTCAACGGATTTTTTTTGATGCTTGCCCTTTGTCCTCGCCCCTATTAAATTTGGTACAGACATGTTTCTTGATGCTTAAAAAGTTTTTTTAAGGCGCTGGGCGTATTTTTTTGGATGCTTAAAACGCTTTTTTGATCTTTCACCCCTATGTTATACGTAGTATATTCCTTCCTTGCATTTGGGCTGACAGGCGCTGGCTGGGCTTTCCTTACGGCACCTTGGTCAACCTTGGTCGCTGCATGTCGCTGCTGTGGGTCCGGAGATGGCCTGCAGTTTTAGGATGGTGTGAGCTAGCGGTTATTGGGATAATATAGGTTATATAGGGGTTATATAGGGATTATAGGGGTTATATAGGGATTATAGGGGTTATATAGGGATTATGGGGATTATATTGGGTTTATATTGGGATAATGGAAAAGAAAATGGAAACTACTATTTGCATACTGAGGTTCCTGAGCAGTTCTGCACACATTATTGGCGCAGAGTCTCTGGGCTGATGAGCTAAAGCGATCATTTCTGCCGGCTGAAAAAGAAAACATGGTGCCGACCTTCACGTCTGCGGGCATATGCAAGGCAGCTGGCTGCAAACGGCAGCGTGCGCCTTCAAGTGGCTCAACCGTGAGCGGCTTACTGTGTTGAACAAGAGGCAAGGATAGACATTGCCCTGATGTTGTGCATGCTGAGGGGCGGGGTGCTCACAGTGAGCCAAAACCTGAGGCGGCTGCACTGCGTAGAATATGTCACGATAGTTTCAGCCAAGGTGCCTTTGTGCACGCAGTGGAGGACATCCTGATAGTGGACCTGCATGCGGCCTTGGGCGGTGAGGTGTGCAGGCAGTGCGGGAAGTTAAGTCAAAGTTTGTTGATATTTGCTGTGCAGGTGGAAGTCACCTTGTGGACCTTCTCGGGCTGCAATGGCCCTCCTCGTCCTCCCATTTCACCAACCTCCTTCGTGAAGGCAACTTCTGTGGGCGAGCGTGGGCAAATAGACATGCCTTGCCCAACTTGAGGAAGAAAAGCCTGTGACAATGACCACGGGCTCGACACTCAGCTTCCTGAGCGTTTCGAGCCGCAGGGCAGCCGGATGTCAGGAATACAGATCTTCCGATCATGTCACTGGGGGAACTAGCCAAGCCGAACCGAACCTGGGAATGTTAGACGAGGTGCTACTTCGGATCGCCTTCCATCAGAGGTGATGGCAGGGCCCGACTCGCTCAGAGTCTCACGGGCAAATGGTTGGTCCTTTCAAGCAGCTTGGCTGCGCACGCCAGCTGCCTCTTGTACTTTCACGGGGTATGTCCTTAGCTCACTGCTTGGCAGGGCTGTCAGTAATCCGAGGTCGAGAAGTTTCCAGTACACTGGCCTCTTCAATGCATTTCTGGACAGGCAGATTATCTGGGTGGCTGGTACTGTGTTGGGAGTTCTTACACCGGCCTACAATGGGCAGCAACTAGACCTGGGGAATGAACAGGCTCTAAAAACCCGTGTGCTCATCTCTTGCCCAGGTTTGGGGTACAAGCAGTGCCGTTCCACGCCGCCAGTGCTGGCACGTTTGAGCAGGCCCAGGCCAGGAGATAGACCCTAGACTTTGATTTCTACAGCTTGGATTGTCAGCGTGGAAGCGGAGCAAGGCCATGGGCCAATGCGGAGGCAATCTCCGTGGTCCCTGTGCAAGAGGAATTTGGAGAATGCAGCCGGGGTTTCTGGGTTGCATTTTTGAGCTTTGGTTCTCATTTTTTCGGTTCATGACGCAGCACCAGACAGGTGGCAACTTGAATTCAGGACCTCCACTCTCATGCTGCAGATGATGCGCACGCCCTTGCAAGAGAAGCCGGGGCTGCTTGGTACAGGGCTAGTTAGCGGAGAAGGGCGAACGCGGTTTTTCTGATATCTACATTATAATGCTTGAAATTTGGCATTTTTTGTTCCCATCTGTCAACAATCTCATGATGAGGTTTCGCCCAGTGTGGCTTGTCTGCGCTGAGAAGGGTGGCACGAGCTTCAAGTCCATTTTTGCGGTTTCCAGATGGCGTGCCAGGAATTCATGTCAGGATGCATGTTTGACCCCCTGATACATACCCCGATACATACCCTGATACATACCCTGATACATACCTCGATACATACCTTGACACATACCCCGAAACATACCCCCGCAACGTCCCTTGCGTCAAGAGTCATATACCTACGGAACATAGCCGAAACATGCCTCGAAATATGATTCGAAAAATGCCTCGAAACATACCCGGAAACATACCCCGAAATACACCCCCCGAAACATACCCCGATCCAAACATGCATGTTTGACCACGTGTTAGCTGGAAACACCCGGCCGCCGCACAGCTTCGCTGAGGCCGGCGTTGGCCCAACTCCGTGCCACTTATCTGCATAAGACCACCCAGTTCTTGTGACTTCTCGGGCGACCTCGGGATCGAGGCCTCCCATTTGGAATCCTGGACCAACTTCTGGGACCGGTTTCTTCGACAGCAAGCAAAAACTCCGAGTGACGGCTAGGTCGACCAAGACGGCTTCCTTTAAAAGCCAGATGTTCCCAGGTCGTACATCTACATCCCAGACTCCACGGTGACAATGCTGCCTGCTTGCAGCAGCAGCCCATGCCTCTCGCTTGAAGAGCTTCCGTGGGAAGGTTCCACTGGTACATGAGCCAATATCTTCTTCGCATCTCCTCCTGGGCTGGCTCCACACCTGGGCTCTTCGGGCCCTTTGTCATGGATGATGAGGCTCTCATTGTGGTCAGTGGGATGGAAGGCAAGCCTGATTTGGGACAGGTCCTCTGGTCTGGCGACATCACCTTAAACTACAATGCAGAGGCAAGGGCCATAGCAAGGCATACTGTGGCGTGCTCAAGCATGCAAGGACTGAGGTTTTATTGCATGAGTGCCTTCAGCTCATTTGCGTGGAAGCCCAGTCTAAACACGAGTGAAAAAGGCGATCTACTACAATGCTGCTGCTGCAAATCACATGGAGGCTCGAGTTGCAGCTTTGAGGGTTCTCACGGTGACATCACAGTAGTATCTGTTTCGGAGGCCTTTCTTCCGTACTTTCGAGCCGTCTTGGACTTCTTGCCAGATCTTTGCCTGCAGTGGATGCCGCCAAGAAGTTGGAATTCTTCAGATACGGAGAGTTAGGACAGGCCATCAATGACATGTGGCTCCGTTCCTGAGGCAGCCCGTCGGATGGCCTCTGAACTGTACCCGCAGTGCTCGAACTCTCTGGTCTTTCCGGTGGCTTGTTTGCACTGCACATTGCTGCTCTTCTGCCAAGAGTGCCCTGCAATGTCCTGAGCCGCCTGGCCAGGCTCATATTCTACCTCATGGAGTGCATGCTGCAGGTGTGGGTGGTGGAGACCTTGCTCAGAAGCAGATTGGCCCACAGATTGCAAAAGATGCTTGCAAAAAAGGGTGCAGTGGGCCAGCCTGCCGACCTCTTTCAAGAGCCCGCATCGTGGACCCTCAGCTGTGTCATTGCTGTGAGGTTTGTTCGCAGCCGTGCCATTCATCTTGTCACTCGCTGGGCACTTAAGGCCAATTACAGTCTTTGATTGCATGCAGGCTTCAATATGTTTCATACTGTGGAATGTCTCTGAAAAGGTCGGATCGGTAGCTCATGTGGGTACTGCAGGTATTTGCTGGTGAGGGAGGGGGGGTCATGCATGCCAAGCACCGGCGGCATTCAAAAGGTATTGGAGATACTCCGGCAGCATCGTGTTTGCAGAGAGCTCTTTGCCTTTCCTGGCTGGCATTGCCCGTTTCTGGGACTGGCAGGGGTCATATGTGTCTTCTGCTCTTCGTTGGCTTTGGTGCTTTTGCTTGCGCCGATCCCTTTGGAATGCAGGAATGCAATCTCCTTATGGGCGAGGATGGCTTCTTGCATGATGCAAATGACTGCGCCGAGGAGTTGCTGCGTTACTCAAGCGGTTGATCGTCGGAAGCACGGTTGCGTCGGACCAAAATCAAAGTGCCCGAGGAAATATGTCTTCCGGATGGCGATCTGCAGCCAGATCCATCAGCTCTGGCCTTACGCGTTTATGTGGAAGGATCAGTTTGTGTGGGGGCAGGAGGTTAAAGATTATGCGCGGCAGAGCACAGCAAACCTAACCTTTGAAAGAGTTCGGCAAACACCAGGTGGTCCTATCGCTCCTTCCCAGCTTCTTCACAATGGTTGCCGAGGCATGTAGGTGAAATTCTGAAGCCCCGGCTTACTCAATGGCTGTAGAAGGCAGATATTGGCACAGATGATTGATTGCTTGCCCGCTTGCTTGTATGTCTTCAGTGATTGCACGTGCTCGCTCGCATGCGCCCTGCTTCCTCATGCTTATTGTTGAAAACAAGTCCAGGGCAGCAAGCCTTTCCACAAGAGATACAAACAAACCGTGATGCCTTCCTTAAACTTATGTGCAACTTTCATGGGAGCAACAGCTTTGCAACACAAGCTGGGATTGAATCATGTTGCTTTGACTTGTAGCCATGTAGTTCACCATGTAGTTGATCGGCAGCATGGAAGAGTGGTCGGTGGACTACATCAATTTGCGCTGCCGGGAGCTCTTCCAAGGAAAAGTGGAGTGCACCCTGGCTGGTAACATCCTTCTAGCCCACGCATGCCACACATTTGCGACGGAAGAGGGCCGCTCAGGTGAGCTGTCCGCAAGCATCTTGGCGTTACCCGGGACCTGCATGCGTGTGGTCGCCCAGGCAAGGAGAGGCTGAGAGGTCACATGTGTGCAGCCAAGGCAAGGGCCGTATTTTGAGAGCCACGCGTGCATTCAAAAGAGGGGACCTGCTTTTTGAGGAGACGGGGTGAGTGTCAAGCAAGAATCGCAAGCGATGTCGCTTCGCCGGTAGGAGCCTCCCCTACACATTGTCGTGGTGGAAGATGGAAATAATGCGTTCCAGGTCGTCAAACGAATTTGCGAGACACGTGAGGACTGTTTGCTGAAGGAAGTCAGGTACAGGTACTTGTCGTCGTTTGATAGCAGATCTTTCGTGACCCCCAAGGATGTGGCCTACAAGCCTCTATGGTATTGGGCTGCCTTTTGCTCGCTTACTGCAGATGATTTAAAGACGCCTCCAAAGGTGGGGTGCCTGCGACCAGTATCGAAGCTAGGCCCAACTTGGGTTTCTTTTGTGCATTTCATACGCGCAATTTTCCGGGTATAGTTGTGGCAGTGATGAGGGGTTGGGTGACATGGCATGAGTGAGTCACACTGCCGCTTTTGGCAAAAGCCTGGGCAGCTCCCAAAGCCGAGCATGCAAGGAGCGAGCAGCAGAAGCAGGCTGGGGATGCATGCATTTCAGCAAGCCTTCTGCTACGTGAGGAACATGCAAGCAGTCGTAGAATCGGTTTGAGTACTGCAAAAGCGAAATATGAATCGGAACCTGGACAGTTGTCCTTCGCTCGTCGTCATCATCAACGTTGTTGTCGCAGTAGAGTCAGTAGAGATGGTAGTAGCAGTATGTAGCAGTGTCAGTGGCAGTAGCAGTAGCAGTTGCGGCAATGGCAGTGGCAGTACCAGCAGCAGTGCCAGCAGTGCCAGTACCAGTAGTGCCAGTGCCAGTACTCTTGCGTGTGCGTTCCATTGGACGCCAGGTTATCCTGCATGTCTCTTGCAGGCAGTAGTCTGTCCTCAGTTGCCCTCTTTCTCGGTTGTTTATGCGGCATCGTATGGCATCTCTAGTTACAGAAAAAAGTGCGCTGGCCAGCATTTCACAATATTTCACACAAATTTGCATGTTTTTTCCGTGCCAGCACCATGCCCTAGTCGTGGTTGGATTTGTTTGCGGGAGTTTTGGTTACATAATTCGTGCATGAACAACTCCACTTGCCAGCATTTCGTCAAAGATAAGACGGTTTCTTCTTTTTGCCGAGAACCCGGCAGCATTTTGTGGAAAACTAGCCTTGGTTTTGAACCTGCCAAGAAGAGATCCTCATTGATATTATGACTAAAACAGGGACAGTCTCATTTGGTAAATTTCTTGGGCAAAAAAGCTTGAACAGTCAGTGGCCAGTATGCCTTGCACCGCTAGAAAGCACGGTGCAAAAGTGCGAAGAGGGAGTGCCCCCGCGAATCCCACCAATGCAATACGCAACAACCCTGATCATTCCGAGTTTTTGGAGTGCCGAGCCCCCGACGTGCCTTTTGCCGGGCTGCCTCTTCAACATCGCGCGTAACTCATTTTCAGGGTCGCAAATAATTGAAAAATGGAAGGAAGCTGGCATTGGTGGCTTGCGAAGAAGCCATACTTCCTAACACAATGACGGTTGGTGAGCCCCTCCAACAGAGTACAAACCAAAAAGCAATTGAGTCAGTTGTGGCGGCAGCAGCAGCAGCTTCGGCCGTGGCAGCGGCAGTAGCCGCAGTAGCAGCAAAAGACGCAGCATCGACAATAGTCAAACTAGTGCCAGGAGAAAAGCCGAGTCTCAGATCAAGAGAGAAGTGTATTGCAGTAATGAAAGAGAGGTGCTGTTGAAGCCGCTGCCTTTGGCACTGCCGCTGCTGCTATTGCTTGTGCTGGTGCTGCTGCTAGTGCCGCTGCCATTGTCTCTGCCATTGCTGTTGTGGTGGCAGTATTAGTGAGCATGCCTTGCTTGTGGTTTCCAACGCATCCGACGCCAGCTTCTCTGCCTCTACCACGAGCCAGTTTGGGAAGCCAGCTGCTCGCCAAGCCAGAGCTTTCAGTTCCCGGTTCGTGCCTGCATGCTTCAAGGGGCCAACATTTTGGGTAGAATTCAAGGTGCAGCTGTGGAATGCATGGTGGCTGAGTTGGGGCTGGCGGTGGCCCCTGCCAAGGTGGAGGAGCTGTTGCGGTGGTTTGGTCGCATCTGCTTAAAGATTGGGATCAGAAAGCCGCACAAAGCACCGGGCTGCATCTAAGGTTGTGGATCCTGAATTGCTTTGAATCTTGGTCTTATGACCAGTTTTTTGCAATGGGAACCTGGCCAGCTTGAATTTGTTTGTTGCCGCAACGTCTTGTGCTGGGGCCAAGGAGCATTCAGAAAGTCCGGAGGGCTACTCTGCCTACTTTGTATCGTCTTTCATGTGACGGGGCTTCATTTATGTGTAGACTGTGCAGCCTGGCCTATATAAACAGCTTCCCACGAATTCGCTCCAGGTCACACTCTTGCAAGCCCAATGCGATTTGGCATGAGGGCGACGATGCACTGCATGCGGACTTGGCTGCGTTATTTGCTGGTCTGTTGTGCAGGCAATATCGTGCGACCGGTCCATAGCCCCTGGTTGGTCATAGGTGGTACGAGCTCGCATGGATATTGCAAGGGGCGATGAGGTTTGCATCTCGTACTTGTCGGAGGAGCTTTCAGGGGTGCTGCGTCGTCACGCAGTTGTCGGGGAGTCACCAGTATGACATGGCGTCAACTACCGTTTCTTCTTTCTTGTGCACCAGGAGGCGCTGATGTTCAGCGCATCTCACCGGAAGAGATCCCTGAAGAAAACAAAGCTTTTCGTTTGTACTTGCGAGCGCTGTCTGGAACTCAACGTGGAAGATCGCTCTGCAGGACCTAGTCTCAAATTCCAGCTGCTGCTGGCATGGCGTATGTCAGGTGACGCGCAGGCAGCGGCGGGCGCGCAGTCAGTGGACCTGTGCCGTGGGTTCCGCTGCCCACACTGCGGCATGGCTGGAACTCAATGCATTTCCCGCTTCTTCCTTTGCTGCGCTATGGCTTGAACTTGGAGCTCTATGGCAGAGCATGAGGCGGCGGCCATGTCTTTCCTCCTCTGCAAGCTGGGCCAACGTGTGCGGAGGCAAGTTCTGCATTCCCGAAGCAGCCCTTCGCGCGATAATGGGTACAATGGGTATACCGGTTATGGTGGGTATCTTGTGTATATTGTGTATATATGTGTGGCATGATGTGCGGGATTAGCCTCGCACATCTGACTGGTACTGACTTGTCTTGCCACTGAAATATATACATGTTGTTTGATTATGTTTGATTGCTTCTGGCCGTGCTATGTTTTTTTTGTGCGCCAGGGAAATGTCCCTTTCCTGTTCCTGACCGAATTGACATGGATGCCAGTTGGAAGTTGTTTATTGTCTGGTTTGTCGCTGTTTCGTGAATTCCAGACAAGTGGCATGATGTAGTAGGCCCTGGCACAATGGATCCCCACAACAAATTGGCATCTGGTGTGAGTTAAGCAGTCCAGTTTCGAAAGCCTTGTGACTTCGCATGACATCGTGCATTGCAATAGGCAGCAAGCAGCAATTGCTGCATCAAAGCCTTCGGCGCACATGGCTGCAAAGGTGGTTTGGCTGCTATGCTGCGTACGGTTTAGCATTGGTGCCCCCGCTGGCCGCTTGCGGGACGCGCGCGGGACTTTCAGCGTTGGAGCCAAAGGAGTAGAGCTGCACCCAGTATCCGACCCATGGGTGGTTGACCAAGATTCTGCAACAGATGCCTGGCTGGGGCCCGACTGGACGAAAAATGGCGATGTAGCAGGAGAGGGGTCTTTCCACTTGTTTCGGCACAAAGACATTTCTGATGAGCCAGAACGGCTGCTTGCGCAGCAGGATTTGGATACCTCTCAAGATTTGGATCGCCGGATGTTCCATCGTCCGTTTCAGAAATTCCGTCGGTCCACAAGCGGATGGGGACGTGTCTGCAACAAGAATTACTGGCAAGCTTATGGGGCGAAAAACCTCGGCAACTCGTGGAAAGGTGATTGCACTATAACTGGCGGTGTAGGCAATCAAATTTTGATTCTACCAGTGGGAGGTGGTGTTACCTTTCATGGCAACCTTCGGCTGCGTGGCAGGGTCGCCTTTGAAGGCCGAAGGCACATGCGAAGCCCTTGCCTGCGCGTGCTTGGCGATTTGGTGCTGGAAGAAGGTGTTTTTCTGCATGTGAAATATTGCCATTCTGCAGGTGGCGCAGTCGTCAACAATTGGAAGCAGCATGCAGCCACTTCGGTTGCTTTCTTCGGAATTGCGGGCCCTTGCTTACAAGTGCACAGCAGCTTGATACAATTAGGCGGCGTTCTGTACCTAGAAAAATGCAGCAGCCAGCATTCCCCCGGAGGCGGGCTTGTGCTGGGGTCTGGTGCTTTCATCCACACCGCTGGTTTGCTGGCCATCTGGCATGGCAGAGCTCCATCAGGGGGTGGTATATATATCAGCCCTGGGCATCCCGTGACCTGGACGGGAGGGAGTGGAGGCAA